TGATGCGGGCTGCTGCATTCCAAGTGAATTTCGACGAGGGAATTCAAAAATTCACACTTTTTAAGAGACTTCTGAAAATACATCCGAATAGCCGATGGAATCATTATTTTTTGTCAGTTGGCATCGAGTTCGTAGTTTTTGTATGTTTTGTTAAAGACGCTCACTGCGTATAGACGCGGCTCCCTGCAAAACTTGCACGTGCTTGAACTTTTTGAATCCCGATTTTTGATAAACAAGTTTTCTTAATAAAAAAATTCTAGTTTCTTTATTATTGTGCGCGTATCATAACAGCACCCTGTCATCTAAGAAGGTACCACCAGAAGACGAGGAAAGTCCAATTTGTCTCCTAATCAGCTGCATATAGAATACCAAGACCTCAATTCATTGAGCCCGAGGAACTATCCAAACTCCTCAGGAAATAGGTACTCGAGCTTCCTAAGCAATCTATATAAGTTGACATGTTTTGTGTGGGCGGACATAATGGATCCGAAAATGATAATAAATTAATTTAATTGCAATGTGCAATCATATGGCAAACCAAAAACCCAATTTTTATTTTTCCAACCGGTTTTCACGCGACTGAAATCTCACCTCATTCAAAACCGACAGCGATGTTTTAATTTGCACCAAAAGTTTATTAAAAAAAAAAGTCGATGCAACCGAACTATAATAAATTAGTTCCATTGTTATGCCAGAAAGTAAAGAAAAATACACGTTGATATATTGTTTCGGTGTTTCGTTCCACATTTGGTCTGTATAAAACTATTGAGCCTTGGCATTCAGCCAAATCGTACATAAAGTGTACATATATGTGGGCCACGAGTTGGCACATTTGGCAAATTATGAGATTCTAATACCCGGTTCCTTATAGCTCGATTTCTTTTTAAATTGGTAAAAATTGTTTTGACAATCGCGATCGATATCAAAGGCACGCTCAAAAGGTTTTCAGGCAAACCGACACGGCTGGATAACGACTTTAGCCGAAAGCGTATTTCTTCCATTCGGGAGGATTTTCAAAAGCCAAAAGCGGGTATAATTTTGGTACTGTCATTTTTTTGTTTCAACGAGGAAAATCATATAAGAAAAAGGAAACTGATTGTTTAAAATTAACAGCATCCCTTTGAATTTCAATGAATTTCATAGTTCAGTCTAAATCGGACATATCCAAATTTAAAATGACTTTTCTCTACTCCTTACTACTCCGTACATACGTCATTCAGTGAATATATACGTGCTGTTTTGCAAAAATGTACCCCAAAAACTATTGGTACTAGAAAACGTATTGTTTGCAACACGTTGATCAACTTCTTTGGTCATCCGATTACTAAAGACGTCCCAAATTCGTAATCCAAATGGTATAATACATACAGTTCCGGCAAAATCTCACAAGTCCATTTATTTTCTTAAGTTTACAATAATTTAAATATAAACTAATAAATAAAAAATATATATTTTTAAATATGAATATGTGCAATATACGATTTTCTTACGTAATTTTTATCCAAATTAGTTTTTTAAAGGATCTATTTGCTTTTGTACTGACGGAATTATTAGTAACAGGGGTAAAATATCTACCGAATCTCATGGACAAGATAACCAGCAAAACAAACGTGTATGGTTCAATTTACAAATCTTCTGGAACTGTTGGGAGCTTGACTGATACTGATTTATCAACAACCGACGCAGGATGAATCCAAAAGATTTGTAACTATTATTATATTGTTTAAGTTTATTTAAAAAAATAAAAAATGTATGTTTTTTTTTCAAAGAAACTTCCACAGGCTACTGTAATGCTTTTTACAAAACTTCTGGATTCCTCCTGCGTCGGTTTTTGCTTAGTCGAAATTGTTGACGTTTCGCCAATCATCCTGTTGGCTTCTTCAGAGCTTAACGGAAATTGGCTCGCATTCTACTCTGTACCTGCTTATATACTGTTTTAGGGGGGCGGAGCTAAAGGAGGGGCATATTGGTGATTTATTGTTGTCAGCAACTATACGGAGTCTATAAGTCTATGTAGCATGCCATCAAAATCTGATAAAATATGCCGGTCAGATTCCACGACAAGGCCACTCATTTCATTAAAACATCTACAACACATAGCAGATATTTTTAAAATATATATATATATATATATATATATATATATATATATATATATATATATATATATATATATATATATATATATATTTTTTAATTTTACCACTTTTTACCTTGTAAGTTAAAACCTTTGGGTTTAATACCTGAAATTATTTTTCCGATTTTTTTGCACATCGTCTAGCAGGTTACATAATCAAAGTATCAAATCGTGTTTAAAATTGCTTGCTAACCGACTTTATCGCTTAAATTTTTACGTTCCGATAAAATTGCGAGAAGGTTTTGCAAGGAGATATTCGTGTTGACAATTTTTTTGAACCATAAAATTTAGCTGGTTATAATAGTCAAGGTCGCGTCCTTAACGTGTTTATCACGATAAACTGCGGAAAATTTCGCGCAAAAACGCCGCCTGAGAAAATTCAAAATATGAAACCAAACTGCAATAAAGGTTACGAAATTCTCCGGCGGAATTTTTAGCATCAAAAATTCACGTGGGCGACAGCATAATTCTAAAATAGTATCTGCGAGGTGAAATTTTTGGACTGGGCGAAAAATACGGTTATTTTTGTTCCGTGAATTTGAACTGTGCCATTGTTTTACAACATTTTGAGAGCTTTTACCGGGTGGTCACTGTAAAAAAACTATCCGGAATGCCATACACGCAGCAAGTTAAGAACAAGGAAAAAATGTAATTTTTGATTTTTATGAATGTTATGAACGCTATATTCGATTTCTAATATATTGGGAATTGATAATCATTTTTTTATTATGTTTTTTATTGTGTATTCGTTTAACCCAAGATGGCATACGCATGACCACGGGCGTGAAGATGCTAGAAACAACTATAGCAACTATCAACAGATTTAGGTGTTGGTCGAAAAAGTTTTCTAATAAATTTTGACCCCACTAACTGGACATTAACGATATGTAATGGTAATATGTATATTATATAATGTATGACTTGGTCATTTGTATATTGTCGATTGTCACTTAAAGGTCCTTTTCTGTTTTTTCTAGATATAGTGTTTTTCATTAAATGTACAGCTAGCTGACTATCGAAATAATGGCAGTTTAATCATTAAATAGGGATACTTTTCTTTTTTACCTAATTTGCGAAATTTTTAAAAACATTTTTTTGGTGGTTTATGGTATAATCATCATTATCATCCGAATAAGCACTTGCACGTGTGTTGGAAACGCAAGGTCACTGCCAATTAAAGTTTATTTGCGGGTTGCGTTTGCTGTAAAATTAACTTTTTGTTATAATTTGAGTTTTACGTACATAAATATTGTCAATGAACTATACTCATTTCAACGATTAAGGTAATCATCGCGAGTAGTTGATTGTCTGTCTCTTTCGAACAAAAGTACATGGGCGACTACTACATCGTACGACATAGGATAGTTTTATTATAATTAATCATCTTTAGTGGTAGTGAAAATATATTATCTCCTCCACATCTCCATAGAAAAATAGTTTGTAAGAAAGATTACATATTTAGATATGCAAAAACGATACAATTAAATGAAAAATCAACATGACATTTTTGGTGTGATATTTTAAGTATTAATATTAATTAAATTAATTATTATATGATACCCTTTGAGGGATAAATTAGTTGCCAACTCGAGCTCGAAATTTAATCACCCACTAAAAAAGTAATAACAGTAATTAAAATCCGTGACTATAAAATAAGTAGTAATGATTTTACAAACGACCACACTTAAACGTTTGTTGCATTTTGCAACTTTTACCGACATTTTGACAACGTCATATTAAACGACGAATCACAAAAATAGATAGGACAAATTGATAAAATAAAACTGAGATGAATTAGTTATTCGGTTAGATTTATATTAAATTATTTTTTATTTCCTTTCTTATTTAAGCCGATAATGTGCTATCTGTGTAAGAAAAATAGAAAGTAAAATAATTAAATAAGGAACTCAATATGATGTACAAAATTTAAAACTTATAATAATAATAAAATAATTGTGCAATTTTTATATATGCTAATTAATAAAATAATTTATTCATTTTTTTTCAATACACTTTTCAATTGTGGAACATTTTATCTATATTGCATAAAAGAATTACTGAAAAATACAATGCCTGCGTTGTTATACCAAATTAAAATAAACTAGTGAGTGAAGAAGTTTAACAATGTGTTGCGTTTTCACCTTTTTCTACGGTCATTAGTTTTTGGGGTATATTTTTGAAAAACAGCACGCATACATTCACTGACGCAGTCGTCAAAATTGACAAATGTCAAAATACCATGGCTAAAATCTACCGAAAACATCCGATCGCTCCCAAACCCCATTATATTTAAAAAAGAACGAAAAAAAATCTGTAAACTTTATTATTCGAAAAATAAGTTTTGAGTAGGTCAGTCGAGCTTCGCCTCCTAGAGAATGCTCATAAATCATAAAAAAAGGCACACCAAAACCCAAAATGAATTAATACGTTAGTGCAGGCGATGTAATCACACGCTCAGAGCGTTCTAGTTTGAACGCATAGATAAGTTGACAGATGCCCCAATTCCAGAGATACATAAACAATGTCAAGATAACACTTACGAATTGCGGCAATTTGGACGCGTACCAGGACTGCCCAGATTTCGGGCAAACGCAATGCTCATTACGTCTGGAAGACAGAAAAATCTTTAAGGGGCAGAGGTGCGACGCCCCAAAAATCTGCCGTTTCGGCACTGCGCCCATACACCCCCACCCCAGTTTATAAGCTGTAGTAAATTTTACTATTACGGGTGTATCAGCTGACGTCGCGTATGTCAAGCGTCGACTCACGATTATTAAGATTAATTCGTTGATAATTGGGGCCTAGAGTCTTATTTTGCTTCTAAGAACACGACAAACGAAAGGAACGTTGTAAAATTACTCACCCAGAAGCGTATCAAAACGATGAGAAAAACTGTCTAGATCGATAAAACAAACAAACTATACAATTAGATATATATAAAAGTAGAAAAATATAAAAGATGTGGACTAGGACGATCACTTTAATCTGTAGCACTCGCGGTATCGCGCCTAGCGCTTATGCACAATGACGGTCGGCGGGCGCCGGTCGTCGATATATAACTCGGGCCTCTCCACGACGAGTTGACGTCACGGTTAACGTCACGGCGTCGTTACCATGGCGACGATTTGTTTAATTCGAGCGCCCCGCGCGTCCGGTTGCGTCATCTGTGTGCGGTGCATTCATCGCCTGGCTCGCTCGCTGGCCCAGCCACCCTGATAGCGTCGGAAGAGGGTTAGTTTTGCAATTGCCCAGAGTAATACTCTGACATTTTGCTAGATGCTCCGCTCTCGAAAGAACGCGCCCGCTTTGCTTCCTCTGCGTCGTGCAATGCCTACCGCGTTTCGCAATAGAGATGCTGCTCCTTTAGACCGTGTAATACGAATTTCATAGGAATATCGATGAATTACACAGGTTTACAAAATTAAACTTTTTGAGAAATGTTTTTATTTGGAAAATTGATTTTACATAATTTTGTCAAGCTGATTTAAAAAATTCTGTGCAAACACAATGTTTTTTTGTAAATATTAAAGGAAAAAAAAATATTTCTAAAATAATCTATTTTTTTATTCAATAAAAAACTGGAACCCGAGTTAGGATCCTAATCAGGAGTATTGTTCAATATCCTGAGTAAAATATTGACATAACTCTTTCTCTGGACGCTAACAATTCGGATACATCCTCTAATTAAACACTTTGGGCTCTCTAAAATATGGTGTGAAATCTGAGTCATCTGGGTCGGAATTAGATTCCTCTGATTCTGATGATGTGACGTTTTTTTTTGGGGCGGTAGATATCGGTACATCTGGTTCAAGGAACTGATCGAATAGCAGAGGCAATATTGCGATATACAATTTGTTTCTTATTGTTGCACAAACAAAAATAACAATCATCACTGTGATTCCTAGGCACTCGCCATACCATAGGAACACCAAAGCTTAAACATTTCTACCTAGCTTTGGTCAGTTTGTTAATGCTTCAACGCAAAACGGAACAAACAGTATGAGGAACACAGGATTTGTCTTGGTCGCCAATTTTTACACCAAATTAAGCGTGGTATATGTTTTTTACAAAATAAGTTTTAGTTTGAGTTTGCTTTACTACCACATAACTACTACAGATATAACAACAGTTATTTGGAGCCACTAACACAGTAGCACGGCGACCAAGGCAACCAAATTGCGTACAACTCTTATAGACGCTTCTGTGACAACTCTGTTGCTTTCCAGAGAAATCTAATATTATATTATATTATAAGCAAACAGCTTTCAAACATCAAGATCACTGTAGAACTGCAGCACTGCAGCACTGTAGACCTGTATTATTAAGGTTCTGACAAAAATTACGATAACCTGTAGGGTGATAGAGCCTTAAGCTGTTGTAAGTATATGTTGTCAAAATCTTGATAATTCATATACACATTTTTGAAATTTGGCATTCAAACTCTAAGGATCAGCATATCTTATTTTGAACCATCCTTCTGTATATGTGACAATATTTCCAACCACGTTCTGTATGTGGGAGCTAATCAAAGTTTTATTACGTAAAAATGCAATAAAACGCCAATGAATGCAAGGCAACCCCGACCCCCTAAATTGGATTATTAATTTAATTTTTATCGAACCATTACAAATACAAATCAATAAAAGACAACTTAAGCGGGGCCATGAGATAAATAAATTACCAAAAAATATGTTAAATGTAATGTAAGATGTTGAAATATATCATAAAAAATTATGCTAAAGCTAAAGATTTCATTTTCTTGTTCCTGTGCAACTCTTGTAATTACGATAGTAATAAAGATTGGGTTATTGCAATCCGTTTCTATATGTATAAAAAACGGATATTAGTAAAGTACTTACAGATTCATTGCTAACCGCACTGGTAACTATTAATCGCTATTTGTTTAATAATCAAAGTGTCGCAGACTATGACTTTTTAGGATCATTACTTTTTGAGTAATTTTTGCCAAACAGCACCAATACATTCAACGGCAAACGTCAACATACCATCAGTGGCTACAACCTACCGATAACATCTGGTGGCTTCCGAACCTGTGAGTAAAGTACAGCAAACGTCCGAAGTGACTCGAGTTAAGTCTTAAAGTCTTAAAGTGATACTTATGCCTGATATACTTATAATTGCTTGTTCCAGAGTAAAGGGAGTAAAAAAAATACACAATCGACAAACCAACCACCAACACAACAGGTGTTTTGGTTGTGGAGAAAATCAAAATAAAAAGGATGCGAACTAAAATATTCTTGATGTGGTGGATGCCCTAATCATTCAATATCGAATTTGTTGAAAGTTTTCAGTACTGTTTTGAGTTCATTGAAAGTGCGAGAAAGGGCATTGCGAAAGCCTGCAAATCCTTCTCTAATAAATTTGTCATATAAAATAGAGAATCTGCCAAAGATTTTCGGATCCATGTTTAATGGCATTTCGTTTTGACAACTAACAAAATTCATTTCCATATACACCAAATCCATCATCATTAGGGCAGGTATAAAGGAGGGTCAATTCTAGCTAAAAAGTTAACATTAGTAAAAACCAACATGAGATACCAGGTGAGTCATTAAGATACAATTGATCCTTTGAAAGGATATTTGATTTTTTTAATTTGGGAATTATTTTCTATGCCCTTTACTTTCAAAGTATAAAATTTGAAAATCTTTATTTAAACTATGATTCCGCTTTCTAAAATAAAGCTTTTTATTGATGACTTAATTATTATGTCCTATTATTACTGAAACATCTTCCTGTTTGGACTATATACGTCTATTTTTTTAATTAATTTAATAAATTTTCCTATAGAATTCTTAGTTTTGAAAGTTATTTTAAGTGTACATTTACTTAAGATGTTGGACACCTGTTCAGTTTTGGAAATTAATTATATTAAATGAAGGCAAAAAAAATCTTATGGAGAAAAAGTAAAACACAACGCCAGAATGGTTGTATTTCGACGCATTAAAAAACATATTATGCACTTCCCAGGCTTCCTTCCGGTCAAATATATCGATTTCGATGCTTTTTCATTGGTGCAATTGAATTCCTTTAATCCATCGAATTCAAATCGCCCCGTAAGGGTAATTCAATTTTCTCAAGACTATTGAAATGCCAAGGAATTTTAGGTATTTGATATATCATATCTCAGCTGATCATTAGGTTTGACATTACGACTCACTGACTAAAATCTGAGTCACATCGCCTGAATTTGGCTTTTGTTCAATATTTGTATATATTTTCAAATTAAAAGAAAAAAAAAAGACAACTATATTATTTGTTTTTAAAAGTAGTCTAACAAACTATTTTGCATCACATAAGTTAATAAATGTTATTTAATATTTTCAAAAAACAATGCAACCAACGAAATCATACTTGTAAAAATAATGTTGAAAGTATTTTATTTAAATTTTTTTAAATTCCTCCATATATGTATTAACAAAACCAAAAATCGAACACTCGCTAGTAGATGTATGTATAAAATATTTCGAAAATATATTTTTTAAATTATTGTCTTAATTGTGTTTTTTAGAATAATCTTATTAACTTCATTTGCTATTTCTCGTTCGTCCCAATTTTGCCGCGTGTCCGACAAAAATTAATCAAACTTAAATAATAGATAATTATTTCGCTCAAAACCTGTTACGGAATTAATTTTAAATCGGATCCGGAATACTAACTACCCGAATCTGCAAACGTAGCCTAAAAAGCCCAGGGTGTTGTTCCAGCATTGCTATATCGATTGGTCCTTCCCGTTCGCCGCCACGAACTTTGACATTTTCGCGCTGAACGCGGCATGTGACGTCAAATACGGACCTTAGTGCATCCCGTGCCCGTGCAGCTCTACGTTCCTTTTTGTCCCACTGAACCTTTTTATAATTGGCCTCGAAAATCCGCCTCGGATGACATACACGTTTATCCCACTTCCTCATTAGTTAAGAGGTTGATAAATAACAAACCTAAATATTCATTTCCCAGGAAAATACTACCTATCAATTTTAAAGGGTAAGGTCACGCCCAACGTGTAACGGTAAACAATGACATTTTTTGGGTTAATGGCAAAATGTTAGAAACTGTCTAGACGGTTGCGATGTATCCCTAAACAAAAATATTAAAAATTCAAATTAGTTTTAGTTTTCGCGTTCAGTCCTATTGTTATTTCAAACGTTCTACATCGAGGTTTTTGTGTAATAGTTTAACGCACTATAATAGCATTTTTGTACACAATCGTTTACAAAATTGTATAAAAGTGAGCGAAGTAAACTATAAGATTTCTTATAGATGAGCAAAGTCGACCAGGGCTTAATAGCAACACATAATGGTCTTGTTTTGTAAAGACTCTGTTAAAATAAGCTGCCATTTTCTGATGTTGACGAAGAAGTCAAACCTGATGAATATTTATCATATAAGGCCAATAAACAGAAAGGACAACATAAAAGACGTCACACAAAATCACAAAGCATGAACACGATAATTAAAATTAGCCCTAAAACAGTTCCAAGATCGTTCTCATTACCGGACCCTAAATAAGTTCAACAAAACACGAATACTATATTTGCATTGGGAAGGCTTTTGATAGTTCTAGGACGGTTATGGCAAGAACCCGCTGAGAACCGGTTCTGTTGATTGTTCTGTTGAATTGAACTGCGTAAAACTGAAAGCGCGTGATAATTCCGGAGCTTCTCCTTAAAAATGCCGCATCCAAACTTATGGACGATCTGTCACCAGTCATGTTGGTTGTTGAGTTAAATCTCATTCATGCGCATGTTAAATGAGTATTCTGACGTTTTTTTTTCATAGTTGCTTCATAAGTTTCTATATTATCGACAGAGACAAGGCCTCTAGATCTATAGTACTCTATGGTTCCAAGTAGTTCGAAACCTGTTAGAAACCATAATGTTTTATCTATTCTCGGCCAACTGTCAGTGTGGTATTAGTCATATTAAATTTGTCTTCGGTTGCGGGGAATATGGAGTAATTTAATAACAAAGAGGCACTAGGTACTTTACTT